CGTACAACCGGAGAATCGAAACCACGCCAGTTGACTAAATGACAGACCTTATGATACAGTGCGCACGTGCTAACCATTCGGCCTTCCACCCTCCCCCTGTTAGACACGGTCCATACGAATTGTTACCATGTTTTCCCAGTATACTCCCTCTACGCAATTGATTTAATGATATAAAAAGATTATACCATACGTTAGTAACGAAATGAAATGAAATGAGGTTTAACGTCCTACTGTTCTGTTCCGACTGGGCTAATGAAGACGGGAAGTTTGTAACGAAATGGTGAGCTATTGTGGCTCAGTGAGTAAGGCGCTGTCTCACTAACTGAGATTTCCGAGTCGAACCAGTCTAGTCGTACATCTGTTTTTACCCTGAAATGACTTATTTTTGAGTGGACGTTAACCAACTTTTCCTTCTCTTTTTTCTTTTTTTATCACGCCTGCAGAAATTTATTTTTGCTTAATTTGACGTTTAAAAACAACATTCCGGTATAAATTGAATCTAAATTAGACATAACAAGTTAATTTATCCAAAACATAACATTGATTTATTTTTTTTTATTATCATACGAGATGACTGACACCTTCTAGTTAAATTACATACCAGCGACTTTGTTTATGGCGGGTAGGTAGTAATCAACATTGAAGATAATGGTAACAAAGACAGAGACAGGTGTAATATTCACTCTAATTAACATAATGCGCTTTTGTGCTGGAGTGCTAATTAACGTCCCGATTCGCCGACAACAGTCGTAAAACGATTACATAACAGATCTAATGACGTCAAAGCCGCTGGCTGTAGGAAATCCGAATCACATGTCAAAGTGATGAAATTGGCAACTGACGAATACAAACAGATAACACATGGCGGGCTGCTATTGTGGCATTGGCAGACGTGAATAGATCCACCCATGTCTAAATCTAAATTTATCTTTAAGATTAACAACAGATAATCCTCTTTACTTGATCACATTCTGTCAGTATTTTCAAGGTTACATGAGATATTTTTCGAGTTACATGAGAGTTAATTTATTTTACACTAAAGCTCAATTTCGTTTGATAGATTAACTATAGTAACTGTTGATCCGCAAGAAAAGCAAAATGACAGTAGACTCGGAATGGACAAGTCTGTTGGTCAGTAGCTAAACTCATAACACATATCATGGTCAAATTATTACTGTATGAGAATATGGATTAACGGTCTACTTTTCAGTACCAACCGACGGGCATGTATCATACGATGTGTTATGAGAGATATTTTGCCCTGACAGCAATTAAGTTCCGACTGTCAACGTTTTTTTTTACGTAAACGGCAACGTGTATTAAACATGTTAATTTTTAATAATTATATCTCTCATATCTTTGAACGTCATTTTTCTCAATTCCAAGTATTGATTCTTTTTGCACAGTTGCAAAGACGTGGTGTTTTAGAGTGTCGAAAAAAATTGAATTCTGGCAGAAAACATATCAATAGCTGGTAAACATCTTACATAATGATCTGACCATCTAATTTCTTATTGTTTAAATTTAAGATATAATTGCTACACGTTATTGATGAAAATAGGCCACATGTGAATATAACATCTACCAAGGCACAATAAAGTTCAAATTCCAGTCATAACAGCTGTGCCCATAATCCTCTGACGAAATCCACGATGCGTGTCACCATTTCAATAATGCACAGAATATATTGATATCTCTGATCGTTATATTTCTTATAATGAGATAACAATGCATGTAGGCATTTAAACAATAGTAATATTATCCTACTAATCAAGACTGTCAGATTATTGACGTAATGCACTGTTCAAAGGATATCCATTTCAAAATTTGGTTGTTTTATCTTTTAACATTAACGTCATAACCAATGTTTATCTTTATGAAATCGACATACTTATTAAATTGAAATATGACAGAAAGCACAATATTAAAGAGAATATTTATTTTTGTGTCTATTTTATGGTGCTCTGAAGCTTTCGGTGTTAATAACGTGTATGCGGATTTGTAACTGTCACGGGTTTCAAGAAGGAACATGCAACGGCAGATAAACACATACGGATTGTTGAAACTTAATTTAGAATATGTCTGTATAAGATTAAAGATACGCCATGTTTCGTGAGGTTGGACTGCGGTTCGTTTGTTGATGGGTCTACAAGTGTCAAGATTTTGCAAGAGAAAATAGATATGGGAGTTTCAAGCCTCTAACCACAAACGAATTCATCATTTCGAAACTAACATAATATGTTAATGTTTATAATTATTTACTCAGCAGCGGGAGGAACCTAGAGAAACCGGAGGTTAGGCATGCGACCCTATCCCAAATCACACACACGCTTCGGATCGAAACCATGATACGTCTATCAATGACAAGCCTTAGAATCTAAAACACACCTGTAACACAACTCGATCTCCTATCCCCTTCTAATAATAATTCCGCAACTCAATGGAGTATCCATAGAACAAACAGGGTGCGAATACTGTACCAAAGATCAAAAATGATCAAGCTAACTGCTATAGTTTTCCTTAGAGAGTAGGCATACCGTGACCCATACAAAAGTAAGGGTAAACCTGAAGCTATTCCAGGCGATTCTGGGTTTGATTTATTTTTATTTCTGATCAAACCTGAAATCCCACCCTGACTCTTCGCCATATGAATCCACAATGGAAGTCCAAGAGAAAATAATGACAGAATTCTAACGCATAAAAATCAATCTAGATATAGAGCAACTAAATAACCCGTCAGAGGTCAAATTTAATGATGGAGGCAAGAATGCGACCAACAACTTTAGAATGTTAAAAGTAGAGTGTACTTAAAAATTGTAAAGAGTGTAGTGCACTTGACAGTGCGTGAAAATTAATTAACATAGTAGACTGCAGCCGATCGGCTACAGCTGCTATATACTGGTCTAATAAACCTTATATTATACGGCATAATATACACCTTTTATTGCTGTACGAGGTGTGGCGTACAAATATAGACCTATTACCACCTATTCTTTTCTGTCAATAAGTTTAAACTGACACGTCGTTATCAGCATACTTTTAGCAGTTTGCCATGGAAATAATTATTTAACTATCGGAGATTCGCCGAATTAAGCATTCACATCCTTTAATGCAATTGCTGAAACGATACCGAAACTTCATTTAGCATTTTTGCAGACTGAAAAAGAAAGTCCGTCCAAGGTGCAAATGGGTGGTTGGGTCGATGCAGCGTATTCAAATAACGGCAACAGTCCTAGCTGTGAAGGAATTCAAGGTTTTATAAAATAGAGAGCGCTTTATAAAAAGAAACCGCAGATGGCTTTCCTGTCCCACGGTTACAGTTTTCAATCACAAATGCTCTAAATTGACATTATTTTATTCTTTTCATTCGCCTTTTCTTATCAATCCACCGTGAAATACCACACCCATCGTAATTATATAGCTGTACAGTGAACGGACAATAGGCCATCATTCACGTTTTCAAATGGTTTGTGAAACAAGTTACACAATAGTTCAATACGATACTAAACCAGGCCGACCCTAAACTAAATTCTAACAGTCAACAATATATAAGTCACGTGACCTGTATATTCAGTTGACACTCAACTGTGTTTTTGATGCGGTGACACGACACGTCGGCTGACAACGTGGAGGCGATTTCATAAGCCTCTCACATGACTATGAGTGTATTGTATCTGAGGTATGAATGAGTAATACAAGCTTGTTATCTTATCGGGCTTGTTGGTAGGGCCTATTAAACGACCTTGTATTGCGTCTTATGCTATTTATCAGAGCGCAACCGGTGGCCTTTTGTAAGACCTACAGTTATTTTCGGCACACCTTTATCTACACTATACTGTTAGCTGAATATGAATAAAATCCCGCCGAGATTTCCCCTTAGAATGTCGAAATATAAAAAATCCCTATTGAATTTCATGAATGAGGAAATACGAATAGATTTGTATGGCCCATTCTTCGGTCGAAAACAACTGTATCGAATATCTCCAGCGCGGTTTTTCCCCTTCGCGCCTGCTGTCCCGTGTACATGTACGCAAAGAAGGTCCATGAACGGTTAAATTACTGAACCCCAACAATTCTTGGGTGTTTCGCAGGAGGTAGAAATTTGGCTGGAAACATTCAGCAAGAATATCTTCCAGAAATATCTTTTATTAGTGCCTCAAAAACCGCTTAGCTCCCCAAATAGATCTGAGAAAGGTCTTTTTTAGATGGGTCTCCTTCGATACAAATGTGCACAGCTACGTTGATGCGGCAGCTAGGTCCTGTTTTACGTGGAGCTCAATTTCAATATTTCCCGATTCTCAAGTTTGTCGAACTGTTACTTGACCTTTGAGCAAAACGGGTTTAAATGACCATTACGAAGCTGTCTACTGATAATAGTAAGAAATCGTTTCTGTCTATATTTATAAACAAACCATTGCCTGTTATTCCTTCAAACAATGCGCAACTGATCCATTTTGAATGTTCATGTAGAATTGCATGGTGTTTTGATGGAGATATTTTGTAGCCCCTTTTGACTGATAGGACGGAAACAAAATTTCGAAGGAATATCAATCACAGGTTAGGTCATACATGTAGTGTGTTTTGGTGGATAATTCGGGACTAAATTGTGAAGTTTAACATAATATGAGCAGCTCTTTTCAGTTAAAACAACGTTAGAATTGAGTTGCTCTACGAGGATTTCTCTTTGACTGACCTGTTCCATTGTTTAGGGATTTCGTTACATTTATCTAGCACAATGTGTTTTGGTGGATAATTCGGGACTAAATTGTGATGTTCACATAATACGGACAGCTCTTAAAACAACGTTAGAATTTAGTTGCTCCACGGGAAATTCCATTTGGCTGACCTATTCCATTGCAGTTATAGGGATTTCGTTAAAATTTATTGTGCATGCATACCGTTCACGATTCAACATGCAAATAACCGTATCCTTTCAGCAAATAGTCAGCCCCTTCCCAACCCCATCAATCTTACGAGGTATTGAAATATAAACACAACAATTTTTTCTAAGAAAATAACAATTAGACTTTTAATTCTTTATAACTATTCAATAAACAACAACAAGGGTATATAAAAATAAACTATCTGGTCGAATAAAACTATTCAAATGTAGAGAGTATTCTCACGGACGCAATAATGATAAAGATGTACATGATTAATCAACCGTACACACATATATATATATATATATATATATATATATATATATATATATAGTCATTGAGCACGAATAAGTAGACATGTTTATATACACATCTAGGACAAATCAATTAAAACAATCTATTGGAATTGTTTTTAATGTTTTTTAATAATACTGGGTACGATACGAATCATAGATTTGGGGATAACTAATCTGACTTCTTGCTATGATTCCCTGGACATTACTTCGGCTTTGTCATTGACACGACTAAAGTCAGAAAAACAGTGTAATAATATATCGTCAATATCACACGATTTTTGTCTCTTGCTCAGTTTATTTTCTACATCCGTGGAGAGTTTTCTTTTTCGTATCGAAGTGTCATACACAGCGGGGGAGAAAAACGTAGTGTCAATGTCCAGCACATCGGGAACACATGTCGAGTCCGTAAAAATATCCCCATACGTGACATCGGAGTTGTGAACAGCAGCTATTTCCTTAACACAAAAACTGTAGTCCGTTTCACAAATAGTACTCTTGTTTGTTTCGGAAGTGGCAGAAATAAAAGATCCCAGGTCGGACGATTCTAGTGGCGATAAAGGTGATAACTTTGGTAAAGGCGATAGGAATAGTTCTTGTGTGATGACTGAATCTGAAGATTGTTCTAATGATAACGATGTTGATGGAGATGTGGACGATGATGTGGATTCTATGATATCTTCTAAAACTGATTGTAAATCACCACTCTCCATGTTCCCAAATTCTGTATCAATATCACAAGATGCTGAAAAAACAATAAAAGAATAATTAAATAAATAATTCATATCAAATATTCGATAGAAAGACACAGTAGTCCTGAAGAATGCTCCTGGTTGCATAAGATATCCCTAAAAGCTACTTTAATCTGATTTTCCTTCGTTTTTTTATCAATACAATACATACCTATTAATGAAAAAAGTTCGTCTGTATCTTGTTTTGTGATAGAATTATTATCTTCTATGAGCCCATAATATACACAGAAACCACAAGGTACACTGTCGTCTGTTTGATAAGGTATAAGATTTCCACATAATTCACAAACATGTGGTCCTTCTGTAGCACAATCGGACGATGCAGATGGAAGCAATGCCAACTCTTTCATACTTTCTTCACTATTTAATCCTGGAAATCGGTTCATATCCAAAGTATAGTCTATGTTTGTATCCACTGTTAGCGGTGTCATAAGGTGAAGCGGGGCAGTAGTAAAGTCCATCATCTTTGAATATTTGTATAATCGTAGTGGATCAAGATAATATCGTAGTACATTTGAATGAATGACCCAGTCCTAACACACTAGCTATATATACTATTCTCACTATAGTAAACCACGTGTGTGCTACACCACTTGTTGATATTGTAGAATAAGCCGAAAGCCGATAATCAAGGTTTTCATTGGCTGATAACGTTACGTTTGACTGCCGCATGGTCTTCAAAGAGGATATCTCGTGTTTTGATTGGTTGGTTCAAGGGCGTTGGAGATGAAGTTGTTACATTGAACACACGTGGAGCATAGACAACTGTTTATCGTTAATCAACACTTCTGCATGAACCGCGCCCTGGTCGAGTCGGCTTATCTAAGCTTGTGATAATCATCAAAAACCATTTACCGGCTTATCACAATTGAATCAAGATTTAGATTAGAGCGTTGTAACAATGGATGACACATTTGCTTTTCGGATTTTTCACCAAACAAAAAGTATCCCCCGCTCACGTGTTATGTTTTTACTGGGTATAAGCTTAGTATTCTAGCTGTTGATCTTAAAAGGGGATTTCACATAGTTCTACTTATCTAAAGTCAAGTTTATATTTTATATCAGACAAACATGTCTAACCCCAATCTGTGATTGTCACACTAATGTAAAACAAGGAATTATATCGAATATGGTTTTGATAATATTTACTATTTTCAATTTCAGTGGACGGTTTCAAATTCATTTTAAATAGGCTAATACAATTCAATTCATTTTTAAACGGGCCAATACATTTCAATTCATTTTTAAACGGGCCAATACATTTCAATTCATTTTCAACATTAGCCTACTTTGAGTTTTGTAACGATGAATAAAAAAATATTCGATCTTTATTAGCTTCTAAAAAAGCATTATGATTACTAATAAGAAAATAGAGCTTGCATATAAGAGTTTATCATGCGTAAACATTCAGTAAGTGTGGGAACGAACTAGGATTTAAATTCAATCTAAATGGCCTTCTGTTCAGTGCCTGATAACACCAAGCTCGACGTCAGTTGGATAACGCGAGACATAAAGCCCTAGTGTCATTTTCCCAAGAATCCTGAATATTTGAAATGTATATTATACTGTCATGTTGTATATGTTTATAGACAATTGTCGCAATACACTCAAATTTCGAGGAAACAAGGAAACGAGAACAGCTGTCAAATAGGACTCGCGTACTCTTTAATTTCATTTCATTAGGGATTATACTGGACACATGAAACGGTCGAAAATACGATCGTGACCACAGAGATGGACGCCTTTGTTCCAAGAATACACGCAGACATCAATGAAATAAAGCGACGCCAATGACAGAGTGACATGTGTCATATAGAAAAATCGTTTAAAAACACGGACAATGCTATCATTCATTGTTTCCAATCGTTTCATCTGAATTCGTGCATGTTTACCTCCATTTATTATATCGATTTTTTAGGCGTGTCTATTTCTACATGATGTATTATGAGTAATACGAGTTTTAAGGTTAAAAACATTTCAATTTATCGAATTATTTCCTTATCAGAAATGTCAATCAATAAAAATCTCAATAGTTTTTATGAACATGTAGTTTAAAATCAATAGATATGGCAAAAGTACACGCAAACAAAAGTCTTATTAATGAATGGCTGAAAATATACAGTGACAAAGTAAAACTCATTTTTAAAATATGTTTATTGGCATTAAGCCAACAGAACCCGGTATCTGTGATTCTCCTACCGGTTATTGTTGAAATATGCATAAATGTAGGAAAGGTTTTTTTTAACATTGTAATAAACAAAGAAGCAGCAACGGGGTGATAAGCAAGAAAAAATCAAAAGAAATTAAGAAACTTTTGAAGAGGTTTTCTTTGTAGGCTTCGTGGCTTTCTAGCTAATATGTAAATACAGACAATAAAGCGGCACATAAAGAAAGAATGGTATGTTTTCGGAACAAGAAACTGCTAAGCTGGTGCCATGGCATATATATATCTACACCACTTTGTATCTTGACACAATGGTACAATCCCAGTAAACTTGAGTATTCAGTAGCATTCAGCTGGAGTAAATGGGTCTGTTGGTTTCCATCTCCAGACTATTTTATTGTTATTTGTATTTTGGTAAAATTTACACATTGGGACTACTCGGCTGTTGGGAATAATGGATACTTCCTCGTAAGCGTTTTTCGTAAACCGACATGTGATGCCAGCTCGGTATTAAACATTACGTTTTAAACACTTCTCCTCTTCAAAAACATATTAACAAAATGCTTGAAATAGCTTGATTTAACGTCCGTTTCCACCAAAGTGATATTGCCAACATTTATATTACTAAAGTTAAATCGATCAGTACCAGTGAAAAAGTTTATAATTTGAATTATTATATATGAAGGGTCCTATCTGTAAATGTGCTATTACTTGTATCACGCAGTATCACGTCACTTCCTGATTCATATGTTCACAAAAACAACAAATCTTTCAAATTAATATTGATCAATATTTTTAAAAGATTCGACCTTGAATCGATTGTAAATATTTCATTTAATATGAAATACATGTCAAGAATGATTAACGATCGACATGATTTGATAATCGCGGCAATGTTACTGGATGTTGTAAATACGTCACATATTTGATTATATTGAAATCGAGTACATGATTGGTCATAGAAGACTTGTCATCGCCATGTTTCTCAAGTCGTATCTGCTTAACGCCAATTTCGCAATGAATTTAATCCCTCATAACAAGACAGTCTTTTGCCTGGTCGTAAAGTCATTAAGACTGAACTGGTTAATGGAGTCTATTCATAATTACCCTGCGGGGGTTCTTCAGTTTTTGTGCGCTGCTCGTTAGGGAGTCTCCAAATTCTTCAATGTTATTTACTTCACGTCTGTCATCAAGAGGTGTCAATCAATTATCTGCCATTCTCATCAAAGACAGAGTCCAACCTGTAATGAGTCAAATTGTAATGTTACTCATGTGTGAAGATAAGACAATGAAAATCAATCAAGCAAAACGTCTCCAGGTCACGTCCACGCCTTGTAACAATCGGTGCTTTTGTTTTTACGTCACTTGAGACCAGCAATGCGAATTTTATGACCCTTGATAAAGCTTATTTTTAATGTGATGATTTAACAAGCTGCGATAACATGCATAATACGTTTATTAGAAGATGACTAACATTTTATTTTAATCTGCCCATTATTGTCGGTGTTTAGGACTAAACAATTAAACAAAAAAAAAAAACAAAAAAAAACCCCCTTTTAGCTTTTTAGAACCTTATAAGTTATCATACACTGATAAAATTAGAGAATTGAAACCATGCGAGTTGACTCAATTACAGACCTTATGACACTGCGCGCACGCGCTAACCATTCGGCCATCCAACCCCTCACTTTATCAAGCTATAAAGTTCGTTTAATTTTTAAATTAAAAATTTTAAAACAATGCCGTTTCGTGATGTCCTGTTGTAAATGTACGAAAATAAAACCCTTCCAGTTAGGATTCAAGTTTAGTCCTTGTATATGGTCATGTTTTGTTTTCGTGCAGTTTTTCCCTTGGCTTAAACAATGATTGTCGCTTGATATCAATTATCAAGTGATTATATATTTAATGGACACGATTTTTTTGTTGGAATTATATAGCCCATAACTCGTGGTACTGGTAATCGACAAACTTAAAGGCCGGACAATTTTATCATTTCTAACTGTACTTTTATTGTGAATGTACAATGTGTGACACATATAAATAAAAATAATTCTTCTTCATATTGATGGTATGGTCGATAGAGGCCACGTAATATGGAATTAGTCACAGTCACGTTTGATATCATCATTTTGAACACGTATTTAGTTTTACCAATATTATATCGCCGAACTGTCAATATTATACGCATAAAAGATATAAAATATTAATCACAAATTCAAAAATATTATCATATAATTTCATCATAACACAGTCATATATTTACTTCATGATACAATCATATATTAAAAAGGTTATTTACATTGAATTTTTTTTTTTTTAATTGTTGGTAATTTCGTCCTTGGATGGTATCAAAAGAAAGACTGTTTACTCATATTCAAGTATCAAACTTTATGCTGATATTTGGCTGTAAATTAAATAAAATAGTTGGTAATGTTCTTCTTTTGCAAAGATTCAAGTGAAGATTTAAAGACTGCTGTTCACAATTATGGTCTTATTAAATTGTCTTACTAAAGATGAAAATTATTTTATTGTATCTTTTTCTCGTGATAAAAGATTTAGGTCACAACTCATGCCATTGATGACTGATCTCATATAAATGCTATGTTAGATATAAATTTTGCAAATAATGTAGCACTATAGTTGCGTTGGGGCTAAAAATGAAGGAACTGGTTATATGTTCGTTCATTTGTTCCTAAAGTTTTACGTCCACTTCCACCATAGGTGATATCGTAGACAAAGGTTATATGTAAATACAATTTTTGTTTTATAGTCGTTGTAAATTGGTCATATTATATTGCATTATTATACTAACTAAACTATGAGCCAGAAAATACTGAATACAGAATTGAATTGGAAGCCACAAAGTTACAAATCGTGATTTTGACGACTTAATTATTGTAACCTAATCTCAGAAATCAATGACGTAATCTTAACACCTATTAACAAGAAAGACACATTTTATGTTTATATTTCAAAGTGAAAGGTTTCACTCAAGAGTCTTATAATAACCATGTCTGTAATTAGATAATTAGTTTCAAGATCAAAGCATTCAGTCAGTGAATCAGTTAAACCAATACGCCATCATTGCTTTATCTTCTAATAAGCATATCAATTATTTTCAACAATGTTATTTGTTTAAAAACTGATTTAATTATGAAGTCATATATTAAAATTTTAATTGTTGAAACCATATTAAAATATCAATCTTTAATGCATGATGACCACTAAGCAAACAAATTCCCTGAAGCTTAAAATTTTGAGTGGAATATGTTGGATAGACCATTAACGAAAAAACAAAAACCCGCCACCGGTGTTGAGAAAGTCTACAGTTATTTAACAATGTAGCAGGTTTTGTCCATTTGTGACTTTTCTTACACTTTTGAAGGGACCTTGTTTTAGGGCGTGGGGTGTTCGTGGTGGTGGTGGTGGGGGATATGGTGGTACGATAGTATATTATTAAAGAAGTTCTGTTTGACCAGGGGTTTCCGTATGGATCTCTTTTACTTTGTAATGACCCTTTCTTATTATGTATACCATAAACATTTTTCTTCAGTGTTTTTCACTAATTTCGAAATCCGCTTGTGCTTGTGGGTGGATTTCTTTAGGAGCTATAACTGGCCGCATAGACTTGAAGTTCGTGAGGTTTAGCACACATCTCCTCTCTCGGGGATATTGCAGACAAGAGGCGCTTAAGTGTACGTTTATTTATGGACCTGATAATAAAGTCCATGGTTTTTTACACATCTTGCGTAGAAGGCGCAAAAGACATCAAAAACAACCCTGTCGTATTTAACATATTAACCAAACATCCTTGTTATCAGGGTTGTTGATCATTAGAATTATCCGGTGGTGATTAGCACTTTGAATGCCTGGTTGACCCACTTGTGTCTAGCACCAGGAACAAATTAGTAAAAATATCAGAATACATCATG